CTCCATGATCCCTTTCCAATCGTTCTCCAATGTTGCGTCCTCTCCACTGAGTATATCGTGCAAGGCCTGATACCTATTGGTGAGGGCTATCTTGAATTCGTTGAGTTTTAGGGCATCTCGAAAATAGGCTGTATTAAACTTGTGTGATGTTTTCTCCCCCGTTGTCCAGTGCTTCTTGAGTTTCGGTTTCATTTTAGCAATCAGCAAGTGGTGAGGCTATGTCAGCTCTTCTCTCGGTTCTCACATCCTCCATAGTCCTTCTGAACGTTTTGTTGATACAGATATGATCAGTTTGGTTTTGAGTTTTGTGGTCCGGTGAAATCCATGTTGCTTTCTGTATGCGTTTGTGCGGGAATATTGTGCCACCGATGACCAGTTTGTTGAAGGCACATAGGTTCGCAAATCTCTCACCGTCTTCGTTCCTTTCTCCTAGTCCATGTCGTCCCTTGATGTCTTCATATCCAGCATTGTCCATTCCAACCTTGGCATTCAGGTCTCCCATAAGAATCGTCAAATCCTTTGGTGAACATTTCTCGACGATTGACTGCAGCCTTTCGAAAAATTGATCTTTAACGTCGCCATTGTAGTCATTGGTAGATGCATAACATTGGATGACGTTCATTGTAATGTTCTCTTTCTTTGATTGAAGGATGCTTTAATGATCCTTGGTCAATGAGATTCCCATCCTATCAGTGCCTTTTGTGCATGTTTGGACAGCATCAGTGCAACTCCTTGTGTATGTGAAGCATTTTCCTCTTCATGACCAGAGTAAAACAGCAGTTCCCCTCAAGCTAGTCTCAGTTGTCCTACTTGTGTCCAATGCGTTTCAATGATGCCGAGCACCTCGAGGTTGTACATTTTCCTTTCTACCGCAACTTGAAATAGTCTTCCAGTCTCCCACATTGTACGAACGTTCCATGTACCTGAAAAAATGGTTGCTCTGGTTGTCAGAAGAGGCCTCGGCCCCGTCACTTCCGAGGGAACTCGACTTTCATCACGCGACGTCACAATTCTTCTTCCAACTCCCAGGGCAGAGTTAAAATGGTTTGAATTATTTTTTCTGGTTGGCGTTTTTTGGCAAGTTAGTTTAAGTTAGGATGGGTGCGCCAACTCCTCCTCGTTTATCCGGTCTTGGGACCGGCAGTAGCCCTGAAGAGACTTCTGGCGGAGTTATGAACTTAATATGTCGAATGATATTAGCAGATCACTTGTGATTTTCCTAAGGCTCAGAGAAAATTATCACAAGTGCTAGACTCTTTCTTCGCACGGTTCGTTCTTCAGACACATCATTCATTTATTTTCTAATCCCTGCACTCTATCAAGGAGATTTCAGTCTCTTTTAATAAGAGGTGGTGCGGGGAAGTTGTGAATTTCAAGGAGCAGCCGGGAGAATGTTATAGCGAGAGTTAAGAGCAATTATGGGATGTTTGCACCAAGTTTTCTTCGCATAAAGCGAGGAGTCTTGTTAAACTAGGCTGCGTTCCCTATGTTGTACAATCCGATGTCTAGGCTTTCTGTTGTAAATAAACTGAAATCGCGCTCTGAAGAAACGTCAGTGAGCCGATTTTCGTTGAGGATGCAAGTTGTTCGCGCCACGTGAAGCAGAATGTTCGAAACCAATCGATTTATTTTTAATGTACGGGACAGCGTATTTGGTAGTTTTTTATAGAGTGTAGTCTTGATAACCGAATACAAAAATTCTAGTCATATGGCAGTTATTTTTAAATTTATGTGTTTACTGATTTGTGTGAGTGCTTTTGTCTTGACGACTCAGGGTTACTGGAAAACATAAGCTATCAAATCACCAGGCCAGTGACCTGTTTTCTCGTTCTGGAGAATAATAGAGAGAAAATTCTAATGTTAGTGAGATGATTTCAGGACTATCTGAATAAGTATGTTAATTAATTGGTAGTGAAGATTGTGTGAGAAATGAATCATAAGGATAAAAAGGAAAGAGATATGATACTAAGGGCGTTAGAGTAAGTTAGTGATATGAAGTTGTAATGACAAAGGCAACAAATTCCGAGTCATGAGTCAGTTACATGCAACCCAGATAGAAGATGATCGTCCTTTTGTACGTATGAGTTAGTCATGTCTAATCTCGGGGCTGTCCACTGAGCGGGTCATGGTCACTGGCTGAAAATGTAACCCAGGTAGAGGCAACCATTTGCGATGAAAAGGGATCATGTATATTGGTGTTTGCTCTTTGTTGTGTGATTGACATTGACTTATTTGACAAATATTACTCTGTCATTACTGGAATATTTTATTTTTCCATTTGATTGGTGGGGTTAGTTTTATTGAATGGGGACAGAATTGTTATATGCATTCATCAATCATATTCGTTTCCCTAATATTCGATACTTATTCACACTAACTTGTTTTGAAGACAGGGCAAGTTTTCACGTTTTGACGCGTATTTATATTTTTGTAAATCTGTGGGCTGACTATACACCCATTTTATTAATTTCGTTATTAGTATGGTACTTACATTTTTTACACGCCAAATTTATAAGGTAAAACTGTTACACATTCGAAACCTTACGCTGCCAACTTTTAGTTCCGTTCATCAGTTTGCCTTAAAATAATGCATTTGTCGTTTCCGACCTAGCTGACTGACGCTGGACAAATAGGCGTTGGATAAATATGATTGACAATTTCCTTGCAACAGGTATTACTTCATCCTTCTCACAGCTCTTGGGCCTCCCCTCTACACATGGTTCGCAACAAGGTTGGTGTTAGTTGGCGGCGATTACAGAACATGAGAAGCAGATATTCAGTGTTCCTGAACTTGTATTTGGCACTACATTGTATGCCCGGGGAATTTATCACACCATAATGCAGTGATTCTTTTGTTATATCAAATTACATCCAACGACTATCTGCATACATGCGAACACTGCCCCCGTTGTCAACTAAAATACAGTATCAACAGGTCGTTCTCCCCCTCTTCATGTTTTCATACGAATAGAATCGATACGTAAACCTTTACAACAGGCTTACATGGGAACTTTTCACGTTACTTCCCGTCACAAAAAAACCTTCAAGGTCCACTGACAAGGTCACGATCACTAAGAAACCACCTTCTACTTACATGGGCAACACCTGAGGCCATAGAAATCCTTTTATGATTGCAATGAAGATGTTACACCAACTACGATTAGTATAATCGCAAATCATAGTTATGGATACACGGAGATACTTCTTTTCGTGTTACACTACGCGACCTGAATTTTTGCTGTATTTTTTTGTTTTCCTGTTAATACAGCCTCTAACCAATGGTGAAAATTCATTTTTATCTAACCCATTCCACGTAAATAGATGGTTAAATATTGAATGCTAACATTAGAAACTAGATCAACCTTTCTGAAATCAAGCTAGTCAGTACTCCAAACAGGCTTCCTTTAAAATTCACATAAAAATGCAGATTATTAAGCAAATATTGCTTACTGTTTTGAAAAAGTCTTAACATCATACAAGCAGTGAGCTTAGGTAATACTGACGGTTTACTTTAACTGTGCTATCAACGACGTCCTAGAAGCAGCTCTAATATTTGTAGGTAATAGTAATGTGAATCTTCTATTTGAAGTAGAACTTTCCAACCTTGAGTGTGTGGATATAGTCTTGCTGTGACAAATTTCAAGCCTAGTAACACATATTTAATCGGTTAAAAATCAGTGTTTATAACTATTGTAGTGAACGAGAACACAGGTGGGGCGACCGAATCGTATTTAGCCAAATTACAGAGTTACTCAGTAAAATCGGAAAACCATATTGTTAATTTGCAAAATATCAGTTCATCATATCGAACTGGACTGTTCCTGTTGCAAAACATCAATCCAATGTCACTGTTCATGCGTTTCATACAAATTCCATTGTTTTCTAACTCTTCCTTTCTTGATCTTCCCCCCTCTTCTGCTGCCAGACATTACGTTGACACTCACGTCATATACTACTTATAAGTAGCTCACACCACAGTATGGCATTCGCTTTCCGACACGCTGTCGTACCAGTGAACTTTATATATTACATTATTTGTTAACGCTCGAGCTGGTTAGTAAAGCTGGTGTTGTCATATGAAAAAAAGCTACTGATTCTCCATGATTGCTTAGTTGTTGTACTGGAGATAGGTGCAGCCTGATGGCTTGAGACGTTATCAGACAAGTCCCAGAGTAGAAGACAGAGGTAGCCTTACCGTGATTTTCTTTCTCTCATATACTTGAAAGCGACTTCTTCAAATGAATCTTGTCTCCCTGTATATATGTTAACTGAACTCAATCTCCTACTACTTTGTCACCCTCCGCCTATCCGTATTAATTTTTCTTTATTCACTATACTCACTTCCCATTTACCTTCTCCGACATGTTTCGATATCTCTTTGAACTGATATCTATCTATATGAATAAACAGGCTAGAATAGACCTAGGAATGAACAAATCAACAGGTAGCATCCACCAATTAGGTCACTGACTATTCTCCTGAATTATGTTGGTAATATCAAACTATCCGGTCTCAATTCGTACAATCGACAGTGGAAAATATTTGATGACATGGCTTACAATTGAATATGATGGCATCAATGCATTCACTTGATATTCAGTTTACAAACACCTTTAATTATACACAAAATACTGAATTTCATTTAGATTGAGCCAATCTGCATTACACAAACCACTGGAAACTAAGGAAGCACTGGATGGCAGTAAGCATCAATGACTTCACAGCCAAGAATCGATTACAAGACTTGTAGTCTAGTGCGTGAATACTTAACCTTTAGACCACTAAGTCGACAACTAATAGTGTTAATTCATAACTCTAATTGATCCACAACATTGAGTAACTATCTTCGGTGGGTACCTTCCTGACAACATGGGTTAACAGCGCTAGATTTGCCTCCCAACCTAGTTTTTAAGCATTAGCCTGATTACCAATGAAATTCAACAATATTCACAACCCCATATTAACATAAACAACATAAAACATTGAAAAGAAAGAGAATCTTCAGTTTTATTTTTACTAATGAATGAATTTTAAGAAAAATTTCATTTTTACAAACTGATTAATATAATAACAAGAATAACAGGAATAATAAATGAAATAATCCGAGGTAGATTACAATAATCATAGAACAATAATTATATATTGAGAGATGTGGATCAAGTTGAATTGAAAATTTGATGACAGAAATTTATTTTTCTTCTAAATAATCAAAATAATTGTGCGTATTTGGTTTGAGAAAAGAAAATTTTCTCTATTTTGAAAATATCAAACAAACTACTCATATAAATAATAAGTAGCTTTTTGTGAAATAATGTAAATCAAAATTTGGTAGAAGTATTGCTCGCTTTGTTTCGAACTCATGGAGGGAGTAGTTAAAGGAGACCGATCAACTGATTAGTTATTAAATAATACATGACATTGGAAAGGGAAAAAAACAACAACACGTTCGTTCAGATAAGAAAATATGCAGTCGAGTGTTAAAGAAATGTTGACAAACATTGAAACGCGAAATAAAGGAACACAATGTTTGAAAAGAAACGTTGACAGAATAAAAACTTTATACATAAGAAAAAAGAACAGAATAAAGACATACACAAACACACGTACACACACACACACAAAACCGGGTATTGTTTTATCTCTCTCTAAAATAAAGTAATTGAACACCTTAAAAAAAAACAGATCTACCGGAGTCGGTGCGACGATGGGAAGTGCAATTTGTATAGACAGTGGATAAACCGATTAACTGATAGTTGGAATATTCAACTAAAAACAAGCAAGAAACACACAAAATCAAGTGAAAAGTGAAGAAAACAGAAACAGAACAAGGAGCAAACAAGGTTTACACACAAACGCACGCACACACACACGAAACAAGAAAAAACAAACACAGTAACACACAATTGACAATGGTCATAGTGTTTGGTCACAACGATAGTGAGTAGATAGATAGATAGATGGTAATTCTTCTTATGAAATAGTTGTAGTTGTTACAGGAATAACAGGTCGTCGGACAATCATCATTAAATCACACTGAGAAGTAGGAGTTGATGATGACAATGATACGTCTTGTTGATTCTTGGCATACAACAAACGTGCTGGCGGTGAAATGCAACAATAGTCAAATGTTGGTGATGAATACGTTGGAGGAGCAGGAGGAGGAGGAGCTGGTGGTGTAGAATTTGACACAACATCCACAGTTAATCGTCCAACACCACCACCTTTTCGTTCATTTTGTCTGGTTGATTTTTTTGGAAGTGCTGATGTTGTACGATGTAGTAGTGAAGTGGTTGTGGTAGTAGTAGTCGTAGTAGTAGTAGTAGTAGTAGTAGTAGTAGTAGTAGTAGTAGTAGTAGTAGTAGTACTAGCGATAATGTTAGAATGATCTACCGTTTTTGTAGAACTAAAAATAAAAATAGAACATGTAAGAAAATAAATAAACAGGAGCTCCTCCTCCTCCACCTCCTCCCTCAACGTATTCATCACCAACATTTGACTATTGTTGCATTTCACCGCCAGCATCTTCGCGATTGCAAATAATTTTGAGCCATGTCATTCAAGGTCTCTAACCATTGGTGACTATCGTCTCGCGGACACCAACCACGTAGTCTACATCTACCAACATGACTCAGTCCACATGTCAGTGACTTCATGGATTTCTGTCATGTTTTGGTCTGGCCGCCCCTAGATTTCATCCAACCAACTCCGACACCACAAAACATAGCTTGTCAAGGCAGTCGGTGGTTAAGGCATACGTAAAACATGTCCAAACCACCTCAACTGATGAAGTTTCACTACTTCATCTATTGATCTACCATTCTTACCTAGCACCCGTTTCCTAACGACAGCATTGCTTATACGGTTGTCCCAGGGTACACGAGCAATGCTTCGGAGACAACGATGATCGGATACTAATAGCCTACGAATATCCTCAACTCTTACTGGCCATGTTTCGCAGCCCTAAAGTAGGATGGAGCGAACTACTGCGAAGTACACTCGTCCTTTGATTAGCAAACGGATATCTCGCCTGCGCCATAGGTAACGCAGGTTGGCAAAAGCCAATCGAGCCTTCTGTATCCGTGCTGAGATTTAGTCAGACACCAGGCAATCAGCACTGATGAGACTCCCAATAAAAATGAAAGCGGTCTACACGGTCGACTACTTCACTCTCTATCACTAGTTCACGTGCCGATGCAACTCAATCATGAAGCAACAGTTTGTATTTCTAACCTACTTCTAAGTAATCTACAATGAATTATTCACTTGACATTTTTTGAAAAAAAAAGTGATCATACCATTAAGGACTAAACAAAAACAAAGAACTTTCTTTTAATTAAAAAAACCAACTCTTTAAAAACATGAATCAGTATCTCATTTTATTTTATTTTTGATTGGTTAATTGTGCCATTTCGAAAATAACAGTCATTGTGTGCAATTTAAAAACTTATCAAAATACAATTAAAGTTAGAAAAAAAAACAATTATCAAGTGAAGAAAGCAAAACAGCATGGGTGAGTATGCATATAGTAGTACACACACGTGCATACAGACATACATACATACATACATACACACATAAACACAAACACGTACGTCGATTTATGCGTTGATCAATGTGTGTGTGTGTGTCAGTTATGCAGAAGTCATATCGACTTCCACATGATTCATACTGAAATAATTTATGAAGTAGAAAAGATAATAATGTTCTATAGTTCATTTTATAGTTAAAACCAAGTGCTTCGAAAATATCAGACCTATAAAAAATACACCAATGTGGCAAGGAGCGAATCGCGACCATTGCTGCTACCTTGACGTGGTGACCGGGCAGGCTTGTCGCGATGACTAAAACTAGCTATATTGGCTGTAACATATGTTCCTGTAGGTTCTATCAGGCAAGGTCGACTGGAGAACGGTAAAACTAAAAGTAGCAACTCAAGGTCTGAGGGCGAAGTCGTACTGCTCACTGTAGAGGGGTGTGACAGCAATAAGGTGTTTCCCCCCGGGCAACCAGCATCTGAAGCGATGCTGCCTTCTCACAAGGAAGATAGAAGGGAGTTAGAAAAGCCAACCCTAAAAATGGCACACCTCACTTAACCATACGGATTTCCGTCTCCAGCGCTACGGCCACTTTAAGAGTGGAGCTAACACTTCAAAATAATACCAAAGAGGCTGTGCGTGACCGGCCTCAAGTACTTGTCCCTTGAGCTATGCGACCGCGCTTCAACGTCTCTAAGACTAACACTAATCCAACTTCCTTTTCAAGTTTTCCAAGATACACCTTTCTACGGTGTTCGCATCGAGGAAGTGACATCCGCCCTGATACGCGTAACAACACACTATACCTAATTGGTCACAATCAAATCCTTCCAACACCTCTTAATAACTCTGTTATCTGATTAAAGAGCGAATACAACTGTCTAGTAATTAGTAAAACGTTGATAACAGAGTGAAATAACAAAGACACAAACAAATAAGTGTTTCCTGTATCATTTACATCTATCACAAATGTAAGACGATGTTTTTTCTTATTGCTTAAAGTTGATACTTGTTACGGTTATATGAGCTTAATTACAAGAGATGATCGCTAACCGTAAAATCCATCTACATGCCTTTCGTTTTGATTGAATCTTAGGGACCTGAGAGCTTGACCAGAGAGCCGCCTAAGTGACAAATATTTAAGGTAAGTTACGCGTGACCATTTTATGCGAATTTTCTTACATGTTAGCTCCGTTCTTCAAATGACCTTATCTCCGGAGACGAAAATCCGTGGGATAAGGCGAATTGTAACATTTTTTTTAGGTTGACATTTTCTAACCCCTCCTCTGAGTTGTGTAAAGGCAGAATCGCTGCAGAAGCTGGTTGTCTAAGGGAAATATCGTACTGCTGTCAAGACCACCACCTTTAGACCTTGAGTTGTTGATTTTAGTCTTGCCGTTCTCCAACCTCCTGTCTGGCATGGTAGAACTTAAGAGAAACATATGTGTTCCAACCAACATAGCTTGGGTGAGTCATCATGATAGACAAGGCCAATCACCATATCAAGATAGAGACTGTGGTTTGTTAAGCATTTAAAAGAACAATTACATAAATTGAAAAGAAAGCCTTAATGAGTCAAGACATTTGGAATGATAATACACTGAGTGATGATCGATTTTGTGTGTATCTATCTATCTAGTCCTACCAAATGCTGATGACTAAATTCTACCTCCAAAAAGTCTCAATGTAACCACCTATCGATTTCAAATCGCGTGGATTGTTTTTTAATATTATTGTTAGTTAGTCAGTAAACGGTACCAGTGATTTTGCGAGAACAGCGCCTAAGCAACTGTCTGACGGGATCCAGTCTAAGAGAGCTAGTTCTACCCTCGGACTTGATTGTATACCTATACCAGTGAGGCCACGGGAAGCAACAGCAGCAGGGTTTTCAGATACATAAAGCGCAAACCGAGTTTGATTCTTTATCTGGAAAAGGTAAAATCAAATTAATGATTTCGCTTTGATCCTACATGGGCGTTTCCGGGACGCAGCATACATCGATGGCACGGTATCCTAGGGTCTTAGCTACGGAAGCCTGTTGCACTAGTTGACACAAGGTTCGAACAGCTACAGTACAGCCTTAAACTAATTGTGAAGATTCAATTGTTAACTAAACAATTAGACTAATAATGACACTATTAGTCAACGATCAGACAGTTGTTAATGCATCTCAACTCCTACATGAAGTTATTATTCCTGGCCCCAAAAGCTCAGTTAGACTATTATCTCAGGTTGTGAATCTGTGTGACACAGATTTCAATTCTTTAGAAGGCATGTATTATCAGTCTTTTGAAAATTATTTGTAAACCTTGGTACGATGAGTGCCAACTAGCACGAAACCACAACCAAAACAGAATTTACCTTCAACAAATCAACAATATATGATTACTCCTGTTACGGGCTCCTACCATTATTTAATCACAGAAGAAAACTAATTGAAATTTTAGTTGGGCATTTACAAATTTCTCCAGTGTATATTATACATTATAACTAGAAAATAGAGTTCAGATTGAAAAATGAAGAAATCTATTTTGAATAAATCAGATGGATTTTCATAAATACAAATTCCTCCAAGTTCTAGTGTGAGAAGGTCATGACCAGTGGAGTTCAATCCTGTTTTCGGATGTGAAGCGGTGGCCACTGAAGACAGTGGGTGAGATTGTGCTGGACCAAAGATCCCAGGTTCGAATCCTGCGAGTAGCAGAAGTCGAGGATAGGCACTGATGATTTCGTCCCATAACAGGACGAAACAGCCGCCTAGCGCTTCTAGGTTTCTAATGGTGGTGTGGTCTAGCACACTGATCAATTTATGATTTCAATAAAATAATTCAACAATCTTCACAATCCCATAATACGAATGTCATCGTATATATATGTATAGAAATGTTTCATTGACAAGTGTAAATGTTTACACATAACTTACTCAGTGGATTTCTCATTTATTTGTGCATTCTTATGTGATTGAGCATTCAAAGCTTTCTCCAAAGCTTTTAACCATAAAGAACGAACTTGTTTAATAACTTCTGTATAAAGAAAGAGATAAGAAAATACAATGTAATATTTAAGAAAAGCACATACACCTACCTACCTACCTAATCGATTAATATAAAAAGCTATGTAACTCATAATTCCGCCTGTAGACCCTTCTGGGTTACTGCAAGTCCCAAGCCCGGATAAAGGAAGAGGGGGGTTGGACATGGGGTTAGCGCCTCCATCCCAACTAAAAACTTACTTGCCAATAAAACGCCAACCAGAAGAAATAAATCAAACCATTTTAACTCTGCCCTGGTAGTCGGAAGAATAATGTAAGTAATGTAACTCATAGTGTATGGAGTTTAGTGAAAAAAAATAATTAGTCAGTCAAAGATTCAAGCGGTTACATCACTTTAGCAGAGCAACATGTCAGAGTCAGTCAGTAAGTTATCAACATAGACCTTCATACATATGTACAGTAGAGCTCAAATACAAATGTCAAACCATATTTTGGTTTGGCCGCCTCTAGCTTTCTTTCAACCTACTCCTATACCACAAAACATCGCTCGTCTAAGCAGTTAGTGGTCAGGTACACGTAACACATGTCCCAACCACCTCAACTGATGAATACTCATCATTTCATCAACTGATTTGCTATCCTCACCTAGTACTCGTTTCCTACATCACATGACACACACACACAATAGACCTACACTCACTCACACACTCATTCACTCACCTTCATTCAATTCATCTTCATTATCAAATCGATTCACAGTTAAATCATGTTCCACCACAGCTTGTTGCTCATGTTCACCAGACGACGATGATGTTGATGATGATGACGATAAAGTAGAAGATTGTTTTTCAACATGAATAACATCAGTTGATTTATGTTGTGTAGAAGAAGCAGACGAATTAATAGTAGGCGAAGACAAACTATCATTATTATTGATTGTTTCATGTGTCATACCTGATCGTTGAATAGGATGATGATAATAATAACGGTGATGATGACGATTTTGATCTTGGAAAATTGATTTTTTGTGATGTTTAAACTTTGCTGCTGCTGTAGTAGTACCAGTACTGGTAGTAGCAGTAGTATTATTAGCAGTTAAATAAGTTATAGCATCCAATAAAGTTGGTTCATTATTTATACTACTCAAATCGATATTTGTTAATGAATCATTTGTAATCATTGGCAAATTGTCAATAAGCCAATACCAATGTCGAAATAAATGTTCAAGAACCTATGGGATAAGTAATAAATATTTTAAAACTATTTAAAGAAAACGAATAATGTGTGTATGTGTGACCACCTCAAAGTTGTCAAACTACACATCAGAGTCAGAACTGATAGTAGTAGTAGTAGTCACGATAGTGAAAAAGGCTAAACATTGAAAATATGGTTTGAAACAATAATGCAAAATGTGCTCACTAGTAATTAGCTACGTCAGGAAATTCTCGAAGCTCTGATGAGAAGACGTGACCAGTGGAGATTAACTCTGTCAGGTGTGGGCGGTGACTACCAGAGGACAAATGGATGAGGTCATGCGAAATCCCCACATTGATTCGAGTTAGATATTAACACCATTGGATGTCGAGCCCTGCATTGCTGATGAGCCTCATACTAGGACGAAACAGCCATCTAGTGATTCTAGACTTCAAATGGTAACCTGACAATGATTCATTTATGATCTCAGTAATAATCAAAAAGTATATAAGAGAAAGAATTGGAACATGTAATCTATCGTAAAGACTACATCGGCGCACAATGGTGGCTGATTTAGGAGTGGAGTGGTGGGTTGGAGGAAAACTAGTGAGTGATCAAATCAAGATATGAGTCACAAGTCAATGAAAAGTGTAGACTATTTGAACTGGTGAATGAATGATTATCGTAACCAAAAGTTAGAGACTTTGCATAATATGAATGAGAATCAAACATGAGGGCACAGAAGTATGCACGCTTTATTTTCTCTCAGATCTTAAGTTTGTAAATTTCTGTTTTTTTGTGATTTTTTCATCAACTCGTTTTATTTTTGTGACGACTTGGATCGGTGCACAGAGGCAGTTGGATCTACGTCGCCTTTAACTGATTGTAAGAGATAAAGTGATAGGAGAAATCTAGATAATTTTGACTAATTCTGAAGTAGATCATCGATTATCTTCAATTACTAATCGCTGCTACTACTGCGAGAAAACTAAGAACATTTAGTAATTTGCATCTAACTGCTTACATAGCTTAGATCAAAAGCCAATGTGAAGTCATCCACTATTTATGCCTGAAAAACGAAAGCTGTATTTGACATGGTACGCCAATTATTAATGAAATTATTCCTCAATGTTCAGCAGATAATAGATCTTAACGCTGAAAAATGCATTATACAATGAAGCAAAGAAAATTACATTAGTCTGTGCTGAACGCTCACTAACCAATAAGTGTTTAGTGGATGAAATTGCAGTCATTTAGGGTTTTACTGCCGGCTACCTAAGACAGCCGAACATCTCGACATAGTATACTTTTTTTTCAATTACAGTTATGGAGATTAGTGTTTGTGTCCTGATATTGGACTCATCAGCAGTGCGCATCCATGACTCCTGAACCTCGCTGGATTCGAACCGAGAACTTTTGGTCTGAGGTGTGAATACCTAACCTCTGGACCACTGGGCCGGCATCCAACGGTGTTAGTGCATAACTATGATCAATTTAGAGATTTTGCGCGAGCTCACGTGCAAGACCGAACGTCCTGGGTTCAAATCCTGCGAGATGCAGGAGTCATGGATGAGCACTACTGATAAGTCCCACACCATAAGGACGAAACGACCGTCCAGTGCTTCCAGGTTACTAATGGTGGTCTAACAATGATTGATTGATTGATGATTTCATTGTGTAATAGTACACACACAATGTTAAGTCACACTTGGACTGGTAGCGATATAACAAGATGAACAATAGAATCTGATGAGTAGCTATACGATTAAACATACACACGAAATAGATCATCATAATTCATTCGAACGTTGATTACTGTAACCATTAGGTCGAGCGCTGAAAGTTACAGATTGTCAATTATCATGCTCAGATGAATGAAATAGGTAGTTTTATGGTAGTCAACACTAAGAATAACTTGTATTAAAATAACATAACAGCTATTTTTTAAAAAAAGAAGGAAAATTCAGTAGCAGTAAGTGCACACTCATACTCACCTCATTTAATTTTGGCAGTTTTGATGAATTCCCAAAGAAAACCGGACCAAAACAGATAGCTATACATTGATAAGTCACTGCATTACAATGTTCATGTGCAACAACTCGCATAATATGATCCATAATAAAGCATAATGTAGCCCAACGCCAAACACGAAATGATTGTTTATTAGACAGAGTATTAGTGCATGATTGATTCAATTTAAGTTTGGATTGAAAATCGTTTGATGCCATAGGTTGAGGAGATATAGGTGGTGAGATTGTCAATGATGATTTGAATAATTGTTGATCATTATTATTGGTAGAATTCATCAATCCATTGAATGGATGATGATAACTGATAGAGATATCAGTTGAAGAGAAAGAATTATTCTGTACATCGACAGGCATTGTGTTCATAGTTGGAATACCAAAAGCCTATATGTGAAATAGATAAACGGGAATACAATGCACAGATATATATATATATATATATATATATATATATATATATATGCCAAATTGCAAAAAAATCTTTAAAAATAAACACATAGAACCGGACGACACAACTACGTGCAGAATATCCCTGAACAGTAATGAGTCATGAGCCGCTAAAAGTTATTTATGAATGTTGTTGTTCACTTTTCTGAGACTGCTTTTTCATTACTGATCATGTTTCATATACTTACGAAAACTATGATGATTATCTAATTAGGTGTATTCGAAACATTGCTCGTATATCCTGGAACAATCGAGTAAGTAATGTAGTTGTTAGAAAAAAGAGTACTAAGTAGTAAGGATGGTAAATCGATAGATGAAGCATTGAAACTTCATCAGTTGAGGTGGTTGGGATATGGGTTACGAATGCCCAACCGCCGACTGCCTCGTCGAGCTATGTTTTGTGATATAGGAGTAGTTTGGAGGAAGTTACGGGAGGCCAGATCAAAATATGGTGCAAACCCATAAAGTCACTAGCCACTGGACTGAGTCATGTTAGTAGGTGTCGACTACCTGGTTGTGGTCCGCAAGACCAAAGTCACTGATGGTTAGAGACCTTGAATGACATGGCTCAAAACCGTTTGTGACGGTGCAGGTGCATCCACTCTTTGTGTTCTCTCGAATCCTAACCTTAAAGTTCCTCATCACATTTATCTTTCTGTACTCAAATTAAGTTTACTACATTGTACTTCTTGAATAATTTCTTCGAACCCTAATCTCTCCGATTACTTCTAATACTTCCACCACCTCTACTACTATGGGATTTGAATTGACGATTTCATCTTTATGTGCTAATGTGATATGACAACTTGAACTGATGTAGTACGCACGGACGTACAAAGTTCTACGTTGTACCTGACTGACCGACTGGTAAAGCATTACCTGACTAGTCTCGCTTAACGAACGGTGTAGGAGTAGGATGAACAACCGCGATGAAACTTATTGTGTTCTGGTTATTTTTTCTGGGAGTAATTAGATCAGACAATAGGCGGTAGTAAACATGATCGACAGACGTGATGATAAGTGATTTAAAACGAAACAAAACAAGAAAAACCCATCAATGTAATAATACAGTGTTCATTTCCATATTGAACAATTCAGTGTTAATAATCGGATTGTACCAATAGTCGGTCGGTCAGTCAGTCAGCTAGAACTCCAAGAATTTCCTGGAGAAACTTGTCACTAGTGAGCACACTGTATGATTTTTGAAATACAATTTTATGGAGATCATTGTTTTCACACATTAAAATTATGAATAAATCATTGTTAGACTACAATTAGGAATGGCAGTCCAAAGCTTCAAAGGTTTCTACTTCCGGTCTCAGTCTGTTAGTTACAACGTAGAACTTCGTATGTACGTACGTACATACATCAGATCAGGTTGCCATACCACATTAGCACACAGAGATGCAATAATCAATTAAAATCACACAGTGGTAGCGATAGCAGAATTATGAGCGGTAATGGAGAAGATTTGGGTTCCAAGACATCATTCAGGAAGTATATCTTAGTGAAATCAATTTAGAAATGAAAAAATTGAGAAAAAAACGGTCCAAAAGAATCTAGAAGATTAGAATTCGTGGGAAGATAAGGAATGTACACATCTGCGCAGCTGCAAACGGTTTTGAGCCATTGTATTCTAGGTGTCTAACACCTGGTTACGATTGTTACGTGGACCCCAACCAGGTAGTATACACATAACAAAACGACTCAGTCAACCTGTCAGTGGCTTCACAGCTTCGTGCCACCATTCGATTTGACCGCTCCTAGGTTTCTACCAACCTACTCCTATATAACATAGTTCGTCGAGGCAGTAGATGGTTGGGCAACTGTAACACATGTCCCAACCACCTCAACTGATGAGGATGCACTACTTCATCTATAGATCTGTTATCCATACCTAGTTTTGATGGAACATTGAGAAAAAGAAGAGAATGTGAATCCGATCTAGAACAAGAAGAGAATAGAATAAAATAGATGATGTTTTCAGTCAGTCAAGTCAATCAACTACAACGTAGAACTTCCTACGTGCATAGATCAGATCAGGTTGTCCTACCCCACATTAGCACACATAGACGCAACTGTCAATTTAAAACCACACTATATCAATAAACAATAGATTACACTAGCAACACAAAACTTACATCAAATGCCATTTTTTTCAATTGAACACGAATTGATAGTAATAGATAAGCTAATTGTTTCATATCTGATGAATTGGTTATCTCTGGTACTAGACAAAATAATGGTTCCCATGAAGCTGAACAAAAAGAATGATTTGAACGAGAAGGCGGAAAAACAAATTAATTTAAAAAATGATTAAATTTGTTGTTAGTTTAAACTGAATGAATCATAAATTGTTAAACAGGAAATTTTCTTTTCACAAATATGTACTCCGATGTACCAAACTTCTCATCAGAGAGTTATGCAGATTGTCACCTATTCATGGAAATCATGAATCGATCATCGTTAAACCATTGGGACCATTGGACGCAAGGTATCGGAACCAAAGGTCTTGGGTTCGATTCCCACGAGCGGAGGGGGGTTCGTAGATGCTCGCGGTCACTGACGAGTACCATACTAGGATGAGTTGGCCGTCCAGTGATCCAAAGTTCCTTTCTACTGGTAGTGTAACATTGATCGATTCATTATTATTTCAACGGTACAAACCCGACCGTAGCTGTTACCTTGACGTAGTGGTAAGGCTAGCCTATCGTGATGACCCAAATGAGCTATACTGGCTGGAAAATATGTTCCTGAAGGTTCTACCATGCCACACAGGTCCATTGGAGAACGATGAGACTAAAAACAGCTCCTCAAGGTCTGAGGGCGAAGTCGTACTCCTGACTGTAGAGAGGTGTGTGCGGTAAGGGCTGCCCAATAAGGGCTTTTGGGAAGAGCAGAGCTACCACCCGAAAAACCTTTCATAAAAAGGTCGTCCGATACCGAACTCAAGCAGTTGTCCCTTGGGTTCTGCGGTCACGCTCCCAGGTCGCGAGGACCGACACCAATCTACCTTCCTTTTCAGTTTCCTCAAAAAACACCATTCCACGGTTCGGGCAACAGGGAAGTAACATCCGCCCTCATACCCGTACCAGCACATGAGATCAAATTGGTCAACGGTGCAAAAATTCATTTCCAAAATGAAAAATTACTGCTTAAATAAAGTACAAAATTTCAGTTAAACTGAATCAATGATGAATGAATAACGGTATGAACAAGATAAGTAAAGGTAAAAACATCATAAAAACGAACAAAAGAAATATCATTTATTCGGTATTAATAGTTTTAATAACAAAAACATGATTAGATAACTTAACTGAGGATTATGATTTTAAGAATTAATTTAAAAATTAGCGTTAGACAGGTTAATCTTAAAACCCAAACCTAATGTTAAATCACAATTATAAATTATGATCGAATCATATAACCAGTCAAACGTTAACTTTAACTTTCGTAAATTCTACGAATGATTGTCAGACCACCATTAGAAACCTGTGGGCACTAGACCGTCGTTACGTCCCAGTATGAGACTTCAGTAGTACGTATCCACGACATCCGCTCGAGGAAATCGAACCAAAGAAGTTCGGTCTCGCGCGCGGAATTTGCGCAACCTCATACAAGGACGGAACGACTGTCCAATGCTTCGCAGTTTCTAACAATGATTCATTCATGATTTTAAAGTCAAACTATCCATTCCACAATACTCTAATGCAATTTCATGCGTTTGACACTACTATAAACAATGTCAGATGGTTCATTAAGTCAGTATTTCTCTTAAGAATAATTTCAATGAAAATACCATCCTCAACAATAATTAAATGTCGATGCTAAAGAAAAACGATAAAGTTAAACAAAGTGATTGAAGAAAACAACCAAAAGATAATAAACACCATTAGATGGAAGAAAATGTTTTGTAAATATAACTAAAATATTGAAATGATGGATGAGAATTTATAGCTCACGGGTGATGATTACGATGGAGTTTTGTTCTCAGTGAACTGAATGTTTTGGTTGAGGAGCTTTCATTGTTTACTTCTGAACAACAACAGTATTAGCACAAACTTCAAGTAGAAGAAGTGTTACGCATGCACGTAAACACGTCATTTGATATGCTTGAATTATTATGAGTTCACTTTAGTCAGTGAACGAGAGCGAGGATCGACGATCAGGCGACACATCAGGTTACTCTAATCCGAGTGTCCCAAACTCCCATTGAATAGAAGAAGAAGAAGACTTGATATGAAATAGAACATGTATTCTACAAACATCCAGAAAAGTATGAGGTCCGATTCCAGAAGAGGATAAGGATCCCGAACGAAGGGATCTGGGTCCTGGTCATTAAACGTCACACATAAAGCGTATTTATACAGCTAGGTTCAATAGGAAATAACATTGCATTTCGACGGGGAGAACCGCATCCGAACATGCTTGCATTGTTGCTCAGGGTAGTCATAAGACTCAGCATTTTGTCAGTGTCTTCATCAAATAGAACTATGTCATCGACACATTCTTTGGCAGGAAGGCCAGAGAACACATTACACCGAGAAACGGAAACAGACATGAGAAGAATGAACGAAAATTGAACAGAACTAGGAAGGGAGGCCTAAGACAGAGTGGGTTGGAGAATACTGGTCGGCGGCCTATGCTCCATTGAGGGTAACAGGCGTAAGTACATAAATAATTGAACTTTGAATGAATTAGGATACTGTATGGGTGCCTAAACCGAAGCACATGGCTTTCTTGAAGAGCAGCTACTCGAACCTTTGACTTACAGGTCTAACCTATAAGGTAATAGGGGATACAGTTCCATAGAAGATAGTGAAAGTTCATAAGCCATTTGTCCTCTCAAAATCCTGGATAACAATTATACTCAGTCAGTCAACCATAAACAGCAATTCAGGAGTGACATTTCACAAAACTAAGGAATGAGGGAATTCTTTACTCAGTTAACTATTTGTGAATAAGACATTCACCTTTATGTCAACACGTCTCAAGTTTAGAATAGACTTATCATATTCCGATTTGAGCAATCATTTTTAACATATAGTTCAAATTCAAATACGCAAATCGTTAAAACTATTTGCGCGTCAACTATAATCACATTAAAACTTTGACGCATTTTAAGTAAGTCAGTCAGCTACAACCTAGAACTTCGTACGTACGTACAAAATCAGTTCAAGTTGCCATACAACATTAGCACAGAGAGACGCGATTGTCCATTCAAATCGCACAGTGGTAGAGGCAGTGGACGTATTAGTGGCATAATCCAAGAACTGAACATATGAAAGAGAAAATTGACAGGGAATTCAGAAGATAAGGGTTTGAGAGTAGACTAAGAATGGATGAATTTTTGCAAAAACCAAACTATTTTCAGCCATGTCATTCAAAATATCTAACTATCGATTACCACTGTCTCGTGAACATCAACCATGTAGTCTACACCTACTAACATGACTGAATTCACTCGTCAGTGATTTCATGGATTTGTGCCATGTTTTGGTTTGGTCACGCCTAGCGTTCTTCCAACGTACTCGTACACTGCAAAATATCGCTCTCGAAAATTGTTGAGTGATTATTCATATTCTAGTCAAACTTTGTGTACATCAGTGTTTAGTTTTTTTTATGTGATCAAAGTGAATTAGTAGGTATAGTGCCAGTGTTTATGTCCATTTCTTAGGTAGATTACACCTACTAACATGACAATTTCCGCGTCAACGAAGACAAACGCTGTCACTATAGCTACTATTTCACTTTGATCACAAAAAAAACTATACACTGATGTAGTCAAAGTTTGACTAGAATAGGAATAATCACTCAACAATTTTCGAGAGCGATATTTTGCAGTGTACGAGTACGTTGGAAGAACGCTAGGCGTGACCAAACCAAAACATGGCACAAATCCATGAAATCACTGACGAGTGAATTCAATCATGTTAGTAGGTGTAGACTACATGGTTGAGGTTCACGAGACAGTGGTAATCGATGGTTAGATATTTTGAATGACATGGCTGAAAATAGTTTGGTTTTTGCAAAAATTCATCCATTCTTAGTCTACTCTCAAACCCTAATCTTCTGATTTCCCTGTCAATTTTCTCTTTCATATGTTCAGTTCTTGGATTATGCCACTAATACGTCTACTGCCTCTACCACTGTGGGATTTGAATGGACAATCGCGTCTTTCTGTGCTAATGTTGTATGGCAACTTGAACTGATTTTGTACGTACGTACGAAGTTCTAGGTTGTAGCTGACTAACTTACTTGCAAATGCGTCAAAGTTTTAATGTGATTATATTTGACACGCAAATAGTTTTAACGATTTGCGTACTTGAATTTGAACTATATGTTAAAAATGATTGCTCAAATCGGAATATAATAAGTCTATTCTAAACTTGAGACGTGTTGACATAAAGGTGAATGTCTTATTCACAAATAGTTAACTGAGTGAAGGATTCCCTCATTCCTTCGTTTTGTGAAATGTCACTCCTGAATTGCTGTTTATGGTTGACTGACTGAGTATAATTGTTATCCAGGATTTTGAGAGGACAAATGGCTTATGAACTTTCACTATCTTCTATGGAACTGTATCTCCTATTACCTTATAGGTTAGACCTGTAAGTCAAAGGTTCGAGTAGCTGTTCTTCAAGAAAGCCACGTGCTTCGGTTTAGGCACCCATACAGTATCCTAACTCATTCAAAGTTCAATTATTTATGTACTTTACTTACGCCTGTTACCCTCAATGGAGCATAGACCGCCGACCAGTATTCTCCAACCCACTCTATCTTAGGCCTCTCTTCCTAGTTCTGTCCAATTTTCGTTCATTCTTCTCATGTCTGTTTCCATTTCTCGATGTAATGTGTTCTCTGGCCTTCCTGCCAAAGAATATGTCGATGACATAGTTCTATTTGATGAAGACACTGACAAAATGCAGAGTCTTCTGACTACCCTGAGCAACAATGCAAGCATGTTCGGGATGCGGTTCTCCCCGTCGAAATGCAATGTTATTTCCTATTGAACCTAGCTGTATAAATACGTTTTATGTGTGACGTTTAATGACCAGGACCCGGATCCCTTCGTCCGTGATCCTTATCCTCTTCTGGACTCGGACCTCATACTTTTCTGGATGTTTGTAGAATACATGTTCTATTTCATATCAAGTCTTCTTCTTCTACTCAATGGGACTTTGGGACACTCGGATTAGAGTAACCTGTTGTGTCGCCTGATCGTCGATCCTCGCTCTCGTTCACTGACTAAAGTGAACTCATAATAATTCAAGCAAATCAAATGACGCGTTTACGTGCATGCGTAACACTTCTTCTACCTGAAGTTTGTGCTGATACTGTTGTTGTTCAGAAGTAAACAATGAAAGCTCCTCAACCAAAACATTCAGTTCACTGAGAACAAAACTCCATCGTAATCATCGCCCGTGAGCTATAAATTCTCATCCATCATTTCAATATTTTAGTTATATTTACAAAACATTTTCTTCGATCTAATGGTGTTTATTATCTTTTGGTTTTTTTCTTCAATCACTTTCTTTAACTTTATCGTTTTTCTTTTGCATCGACATTTAATTATTGTTGAGGTTGGTATTTTCATTGAAATTATTCTTAAGAGAAATACTGACTTAATGAACCATCTGACCATTGTTTATAGTAGTGTCGAACGCATGAAATTGCATTATGGAGATGATAGTTTGACTTTAAAATCATGAGTGAATCATTGTTAGAAACTGGGAAGCACTGGACAGTCGTTCCGTCCTTTTATGAGGTTGCGCAAATTCCTTAGATTGATCAGAGTTAGACATTAACATCGTTGGATGCTGGCGTCCGCGCGCGAGACCGAACTTCTTTGGTTCGATTTCCTCGAGCGGATGTCGTGGATACGTACTACTGAAGTCTCATACTGGGACGTAACGACGGTCTAGTGCTCACAGGTTTCTAATGGTGGTCTGACAATCATTCGTAGAATTCACGAAAGTTAAAGTTAACGTTTGACTGGTTATATGATTCGATCATAATTTATAATTGTGATTTAACATTAGGTTTGGGTTTTAAGATTAACCTGTCTAACGCTAATTTTTAAATTAATTCTTAAAATCATAATCCTCAGTTAAGTTATCTAATCATGTTTTTGTTATTAAAACTATTAATACCGAATAAATGATATTTCTTTTGTTTGTTTTTATGATGTTTTTACCTTTACTTATCTTGTTCATACCGTTATTCATTCATCATTGATTCAGTTTAACTGAAATTTTGTACTTTATTTAAGCAGTAATTTTTCATTTTGGAAATGAATTTTTGCACCGTTGACCAATTTGATCTCGTGTGCTGGTACGGGTATGAGGGCGGATGTTACTTCCCGGCTGCCCGAACCGTGGAATGGTGTTTCTTGAGGAAACTGAAAAGGAAGGTAGATTGGTGTCGGTCCTCGCGACCTGGGAGCGTGACCGCAGAACCCAAGGGACAACTGCTTGAGTTCGGTATCGGACGACCTTTTTATGAAAGGTTTTTCGGGTGGTAGCTCTGCTCTTCCCAAAAGCCCTTATTGGGCAGCCCTTACCGCACATACCTCTCTACAATCAGGAGTACGACTTCGCCCTCAGACCTTAAGGAGCTGTTTTCAGTGTCATCGTTCTCCAATGGACCTGCATGGCATGGTAGAACCTTCAGGAACATAAGTTCCAACCAGTGTAGCTCGGTTGGGTCATCACGATAGGCGAGCCCGACCACTACGTCAAGGTAACAGCTACGGTCGGGTTTGTACCGTTGAAATAATAATGAATCGATCAATGTTACACTACCAGTAGAAAGGAACTTTGGATCACTGGACGGCCAACTCATCTTAGTATGGTACTCGTCAGTGACCGCGAGCATCTACGAACCCCCCTCCGCTCGTGGGAATCGAACCCAAGACCTTTGGTTCCGATACCTTGCGTCCAATGGTCCCAATGGTTTAAAGATGATCGATTCATGATTTCCATGAATAATTGACAATCTGCATAACTCTCTGATGAGAAGTTTGGTACATCGGAGTACATATTTGTGAAAAGAAAATTTCCTGTTTAACAATTTATGATTCATTCAGTTTAAACTAACAACAAATTTAATCATTTTTTAAATTAATTTGTTTTTCCGCCTTCTCGTTCAAATCATTCCTTTTGTTCAGCTTCATGGGAACCATTATTTTGTCTAGTACCAGAGATAACCAATTCATCAGATATGAAACAATTAGCTTATCTATTACTATCAATTCGTGTTCAATTGAAAAAAATGGCATTTGATGTAAGTTTTGTGTTGCTAGTGTAATCTATTGTTTATTGATATAGTGTGGTTTTAAATTGACAGTTGCGTCTATGTGTGCTAATGTGGGGTAGGACAACCTGATCTGATCTATGCACGTAGGAAGTTCTACGTTGTAGTTGATTGACTTGACTGACTGAAAACATCATCTATTTTATTCTATTCTATTCTTGTTCTAGATCGGAATCACATTCTCTTCTTTTTCTCAATGTTCCATCAAAACTAGGTATGGATAACAGATCAATAAATGAAGTAGTGCATCCTCATCAGTTGAGGTGGTTAGGACATGTGTTACAGTTGCCCAACCATCGACTGCCTCGACGAACTATGTTGTATAGGAGTAGGTTGGGAGAAACCTAGGAGCGGTCAAATCGAATGGTGGCACGAAGTTGTGAAGCCACTGACAGGTTGACTGAGTCGTTTTGTTATGTGTATACTACCTGGTTGGGGTCCACGTAACAATCATAACCAGGGGTTAGACACCTAGAATACAATGGCTCAAAATCGTTTGCAGCTGCGCAGATGTGTACATTCCTTATCTTCTCACGAATTTTAATCTTCTAGATTCTTTTGGACCGTTTTTTTCTCAATTTTTTCATTTCTAAATTGATTCCACTAAGATATACTTCCTGAATGATGTCTTGGAACCCTAATCTTCTCCATTACCGCTCATAATTCTGCTATCTCTACCACTGTGTGATTTTAATTGATTATTGCATCTCTATGTGCTAATGTGGTATGGCAACCTGATCTGATGTATGTACGTACCTACATACGAAGTTCTACGTTGTAACTAACTGACTGAAACCAGAAGTAGAAACCTTTGAAGCTTTGGACTGTCATTCCTAATTGTAACCTAACAATGATTTATTCATAATTTTAATGTGTGAAAACAATGATCTCCATAAAATTGTATTTCAAAAATCATACAGTGTGCTCACTAGTGACAAGTATCTCCAGGAAATTCTTGGAGTTCTAGCTGACTGACTGACCGACTATTGATACGATCCGATTATTAAACACTGAATTGTTCAATATGGAAATGAACACTGTATTATTACATTGATGGGTTTTTCTTGTTTTGTTTCGTTTTAAATCACTTATCATCACGTCTGTCGATCATGTTTACTACCACCTATTGTCTGATCTAATTACTCCCAGAAAAATAACCAGAACACAAGAAGTTTGATCGCGGTTGTTCATCCTACTCCTACACCGTTTGTTAAGCGAAACTAGTCAGGTAATCCTTTACCAGTCGGTCAGTCAGGTACAACGTAGAACTTTGTACGTACGTGCGCACTACATCAGTTCAAGTTGTCATATCACATTAGCACATAAAGATGAAATCGTCTATGCAAATCCCATAGTAGTAGAGGTAGTGGAAGTATTAGAAGTAATCGGAGAGATTAGGGTTCGAAGAAATTATTCAAGAAGTATAATGTAGTAAAATTATTTGACTACAGAAAGATAAATGTGATGAGGAACTCCTATGATTCAAGAGGACACAAAGAGTGGATGCACCTGCACCATCACAAACGGTTTTGAGCCATGTCATTCAAGGTCTCTAACCATCAGTGACTTTCGTCTCGCGGACCACAACCAGGTGGTCGACACCTACTAACATGACTCAGTCCAGTGGCTAGTGACTTTATGGGTTTGTACCATATTTTGATCTGGCCTCCCGTAACTTCCTCCAAACTACTCCTATATCACAAAACATAGCTCGACGAAGCAGTCGGCGGCTGGGCATTCGTAACCTATATCCCAACCATCTCAACTGATGAATACTCACCACTTCATCTATCGATTTACCATCCTTACTTAGTACTCTTTTTTCTAACAACTACATTACTTACTCGATTGTTCCAGGATATACGAGCAATGTTGCGAAGACACCTAATCAGATAATCATCATAGTTTTCGTAAGTATACGAAACATGATCAGTAATGAAAAAGCAGTCTCAGAAAAGTGAACAACAACAAAAAATATAGTTGTAGACATTCATAAATAACTTATAGTGGCTCATGACTCATTACTGTTCAGAGATATTCTGCACGTAGTTGTGTCGTCCGGTTCCATGTGTTTATTTTTAAAGATTTTTTTTGTATTTTGGCATATTTTCCTCGGAGATTTCATATATATATATATATATATATATATATATATATATATATATATATATATATATATATATATATATATATATATATCTGTGCATTGTATTCCCGTTTATCTATTTCACATATAGGCTTTTGGTATTCCAACTATGAACACAATGCCTGTCGATGTACAGAATAATTCTTTCTCTTCAACTGATATCTCTATCAGTTATCATCATCCATTCAATGGATTGATGAATTCTACCAATAATAATGATCAACAATTATTCAAATCATCATTGACAATCTCACCACCCATATCTCCTCAACCTATGGCATCAAACGATTTTCAATCCAAATGTAAATTGAATCAATCATGGACTACTACTCTGTCTAATAAACATTCATTTCGTGTTTGGCGTTGGGCTACATTATGCTTTATTATGGATCATATAATGCGAGTTGTTGCACATGAACATTGTAATGCAGTGACTTATCAATGTATAGCTATCTGTTTTGGTCCGGTTTTCTTTGGGAATTCATCAAAACTGCCAAAATTAAATGAGGTGTGTGTGTGTGTGTTCACTTCCTACTACTGAATTTTCCTTCTTTTTTTTTAAATAGCTGTTATGTTATTTTAATACAAGTTATTCTTAGTTTTGGCTACCATAAAACTACCTATTTCATTCGTCTGAGCCTGATAATTGACAATCTGTAACTTTCAGAGCTCGACCTAATGGTTACAGTAATCAACGTTCGAATGAATTATGATGATCTATTTCGTGTGTATGTTTAATCGTATAGCTACTCATCAGATTCTATTGTTCATGTTGTTATATCGCTACCAGTCCAAGCGTGACTTAACATTGTGTGTACTATTACACAATGAAATCATCAATCAATCATTGTTAGACCACCATTAGTAACCTGGAAGCACTGGACGGTCGTTTCGTCCTTATGGTGTGGGACTAATCAGCAGTGCTCATCCATGACTCCTGCACCTCGCATAATTTGAATCCAGGACGTTTGGTCTTGCACGTGAGCTTGCGCAAAATCTCTAAATTGATCATAGTTAGACACTAACACCGTTGGATGCCGGCCCAGTAGTCCAGAGGTTAGGCGTTCGCGCGCCAGACCAAAAGTTCTCGGTTCGAATCCAGCGAAGTGCAGGGTTCATGGATGCGCACTGCTGATGAATCCAATATCAGGACACAAACACTAATCTCCATAACTGTAATTGAAAAAAAAGTGTATACTATGTCAAGATGTTCGGCTATCTTAGATAGCAATTTCATCCATGAAACACCTATTGGTTAGTGAGCGTTCAGCACAGACTTATGTAATTTTCTTTGCTTCATTGTATAATGCATTTTTCGGCGTTAAGATCCATTATATGCTGAACATTGAGGAATAATTTCATTAATAATTGGCGTACCATGTCAAATACAGCTTTCGTTTTTCAGGCATAAATAGTGGATGACTTCACATTGGCTTTTGATCTAAGCTATGTAAGCAGTTAGATTCAAATTACTAAATGTTCTTAGTTTTCTTGCAGTAGTAGTAGCGATTAGTAATTAAAGATAATCGATGATCTACTTCAGAATTAGTCAAAATAATCTAGATTTCTCCTATCACTTTATCTCTTACAATCAGTTAAAGGTGACGTAGATCTAACTGCTTCTGTGCATCGATCCAAGTCGTCACAAAAATAAAACGAGTTGATGAAAAAAAACAGAAATTTACAAACTTAAGATCTGAGAGAAAATAAAGCGTGCATACTTCTGTGCCCTCATGTTTGATTCTCATTCATATTATGCAAAGTCTCTAACTTTTGGTTACGATAATCATTCATTCACCAGTTCAAATAGTCTACACTTATCATTGATTTGTGACTCATATGTTGATTTGATCACTCACTAGTTTTCCTCCAACCCACCACTCCATTCCTAAATCAGCCACCATTGTGCGCCGATGTAGTCTTTACGATAGATTACATGTTCCAATTATTTCTCTTATATACTTTTTGATTATTACTGAGATCATAAATGAATCATTGTCAGACTACCATTTGAAGTCTAGGATCACTGGATGGCTGTTTCGTCCTAGTATGAGACTCATCAGCAGTGCAGGGCTTGACATCCAACGGTGTTAACGTCTAACTCTGATCAATGTAGGGATTTTGCATGACCTCATCCATTTGTCCTTTGGTAGTTACCGCCTACAATCGACAGAGTTGATCTCCACTGGTTACGTCTTCTCATCAGAACTTCGAGAATTTCCTGACTTAGCTAGTTACTAGTGAGCACATTTTGCATTATTGTTTCAAACCATATTTTCAATGTTTAACCTTTTTCACTATCACGACTACTTCTACTACTACTACTACTATCAGTTCTGACTCTGATGTGTAGTTTGACAACTTTGAGGTGGTCACACATACACACATTATTCGTTTTCTTTAAATAGTTTTAAAATATTTATTGCTTATCCCATAGGTTCTTGAACATTTATTTCGACATTGGTATTGGCTTATTGACAATTTGCCAATGATTACAAATGATTCATTAACAAATATCGATTTGAGTAGTATAAATAATGAACCAACTTTATTGGATGCTATAACTTATTTAACTGCTAATAATACTACTGCTACTACCACTACTGGTACTACTACAGCCGCAGCAAAGTTTAAACATCACAAAAAATCAATTTTCCAAGATCATAATCGTCATCATCACCGTTATTATTATCATCAGCCTATTCAACGATCAGATATGACACATGAAACAATCAATAATAATGATAGTTTGTCTTCGCCTACTATTAATTCGTCTGCTTCTTCTACACAACATAAATCAACTGATGTTGTTCATGTTGAAAAACAATCTTCTACATTATCGTCATCATCATCAACATCGTCGTCGTCTGGTGAACATGAGCAACAAGCTGTGGTGGAGCATGATTTAACTGTGAATCGATTTGATAATGAAGATGAATTGAATGAAGGTGAGTGAATGAGTGTGTGAGTGAGTGAGTGTAGGTCTATTGTGTGTGTGTGTCATGTGATGTAGGAAACGAGTACTAGGTAGCAAATCAGTTGATGAAGTGATGAGTATTCATCAGTTGAGGTGGTTGGGACATGTGTTACGTGTACCTGACCACTAACTGCTTAGACGAGCGATGTTTTGTGGTATAGGAGTAGGTTGAAAGAAAGCTAGAGGCGGCCAAACCAAAATGTGGCACAAATCCACGGGGTCACTGATAAGTAGGATGAGTCATATTGGTAGGGATAGACCACTTGGTTGTGGTCCGCGAGACCATAGTAGCCGATGGTTAAGTGACCGTGAATGACATGTCTCAAAATCATTTGCACTAGCGCAGGTGCGTTCATTCATTCAAATTCTAATCTTCTGAATTTCTCATCACTTCTATCTTTCTCTTTTTAAATTCATTTCACTGGATTATACTTCTTGAATAATTTATTTGAACCGTAATCTTTCCGATTAATTCTAATACTTTCACTACCTCTACTACTATGGGATTGGAATTGACATTTGTATTTGAGCTCCGCTGTACATATGTACGAAGGTCTATGTTGATAACTTACTGACTGACTCTGACATGTTGCTCTGCTAAAGTGATGTAACCGCTTGAATCTTTGACTGACTAATTATTTTTTTTCACTAAACTCCATACACTATGAGTTACATTACTTACATTCTTCTTCCGACTCCCAGGGCAGAGTTAAAATGGTTTGATTTAACTTTTCTGGTTAGCGTTTTTTTTGGCAAGTTAGTTTTTAGTTGGGATGGGGGCGCCAACGCCTCCTCCTTTATCCGGGTTTGGGATCGGTAGTAGCCCAGAAGGGTCTACACGTGGAGTTATGAGTTACATAGCTTTTTATATTAATCGATTAGGTAGGTAGGTAGGTACGTGTATGTGCTTTTCTTAAATATTACATTGTATTTTCTTATCCCTTTCTTTATACAGAAGTTATTAAACAAGTTCGTTCTTTATGGTTAAAAGCTTTGGAGAAAGCTTTGAATGCTCAATCACATAAGAATGCACAAATAAATGAGAAATCCACTGAGTAAGTTATGTGTAAACATTTACGCTTGTCAATGAAACATTTTTATACATATATATATACGATGACATTCGTATTACGGGATTATGAAGATTGTTAAATTATTTTATTGAAATCATAAATTGATCAGTGTGCTAGACCACACCACCATTAGAAACCTAGAAGCTCTAGGCGGCCGTTTCTTCCTGGTATGGGACGAAATCATCAGTGCCTGTCCTTGACTTCAGCTACTCGCAGGATTCGAACCTGGGACCTTTGGTCTTGCACAATCTCATCCACTGTCTTCAGTGGTCACCGCTTCACATCCGAAAACAGGATTGAACTCCACTGGTCATGACTTCTCACACTAGAACTTGGAGGAATTTGTATTTATGAAAATCCATCTGATTTATTCATTTTTCAATCTGAACTCTATTTTCTAGTTATAATGTATAATATACACTGAAAAAATTTGTAAATGCCCAACTAAAATTTCAATTAGTTTTTTTCTGTGATTAAATAATGGTAGGAGCCCGTAACGGGAGTAATCATATATTGTTGATTTGTTGAAGGTAAATTCTGTATTGGTTGTGGTTTCGTGCTAGTTGGCACTCATCGTACCAAGGTTTACAGAAAATTTTCAAAAGACTGATGATACATGCCTTCTAAAGAAGTGAAATCTATGTCATACAGATTTACAACCTGAGATAATACTCTAACTGAGCTTTTGGGGCCAGGAATAATAACTTCATGTAGGAGTTGAGATGTATCAACAATTGTCTGATCATTGACTAATAATGTCATTGTTAGTCTAATCGTTTAGTTAACAATTGAATCTTCACAATTAGTTTAAGGCTGTACTGTAGCTGTTCGAACCTTGTGTCAAATAGTGCAACAGGCTTTCTTAGCTAAAACCCTGGGATTACCGTGCCATCGATGTATGCTGCGTCTCCGAAACGCGCATGCAAGATCGGAGCGAAATCATTAATTTGATTTTACCTTGTCCAGATAAAGAATCAACTCAGTTTGCGCTTTATGTATCTGAAAATCCTGCTACTGCTGCTTCCCGTGGCCTCACTGGTATAGGTATACAATCAAGTCCGAGGGTAGAACTAGGTCTCTTAGACTGGATCCCAGCAGACAGTTGCTTATGCGCTGTTCTCGCAAAATCACTGGTACCGTTTACCGACTAACTAACAATAATATTAAAAAACAGTCCACGCGATTTGAAATCGATAGGTGGTTACATTGAGACTTTTTGGAGGTAGAATTTCGTCATCAGCATTCGGTAGGACTAGATAGATAGATACACAAAAAACCGATCATTACTCAGTGTATTATCATTCCAAATGTCTTGTCTCATTAAGGCTTTCTTTTCAATTTATTTAATTGTTCTTTTAAATGTTTAACAAACCACAGTCTCTATCTTGATATGGTGATTAGCCTTGTCTATCATGATGACTCACCTAAGCTATGTTGGTTGGAACACATATGTTTCTCGTAAGTTCTACCATGCCAGACAGGAGATTGGAGAACGGCAAAACTAAAATCAACAACTGAAGGTCTAAAGGTGGTGGTCTTGACAGAAGTACGATATTTCCCTTAGACAACCAGCTCCTGCAGTGATTCTGCCTTTACACAACTCAGAGGAGGGGTTAGAAAATGTCAACTTAAAAAAAAATGTTACAATTCGCCTTATCCTACGGATTTTCGTCTCCGGAGATTAGGTCATTTGAAGAACGGAGCTAACATGTAAGAAAATTCGCATAAAAAGGTCACGCGTAACTTACCTTAAACATTTGTCACTTAGGCGGCTCTCAGGTCCCTAAGATTCAATCAAAACGAAAGGCATGTAGATGGATTTTACGGTTACCGATCATCTCTTGTAATTAAGCTCATATAACCGTAACAAGTATCAACTTTAAGCAATAAGAAAAAAACATCGTCTTATATTTGTGATAGATGTAAATAATACAGGAAACACTTATTTGTTTGTGTCTGAGTGATTTCACTCTGTTATCAACGTTTTACTAATTACTAGACAGTTGTATTCGCTCTTCAATCAGATAACAGAGTTATTAAGAGGTGTTGGAAGGATTTGATTGTGACCAATTAGGTATAGTGTGTTGTTACGCGTATCAGGGCGGATTTCACTTCCTCGATGCGAACACCGTGGAAAGGTGTATCTTGGAAAACTTGAAAAGGAAGTTGGATTAGTGTTAGTCTTAGAGACGTTGAAGCGCGGTCGCATAGCTCAAGGGACAAGTACTTGAGGCCGGTCACGCACAGCCTCTTTGGTATTATTTTGAAGTGTTAGCTCCACTCTTAAAGTGGCCGTAGCGCTGGAGACGGAAATCCGTATGGTTAAGTGAGGTGTGCCATTTTTAGGGTTGGCTTTTCTAACTCCCTTCTATCTTCCTTGTGAGAAGGCAGCATCGCTTCAGATGCTGGTGGTTGCCCGGGGGGAAACACCTTATTGCTGTCACACCCCTCTACAGTGAGCAGTACGACTTCGCCCTCAGACCTTGAGTTGCTACTTTTAGTTTTACCGTTCTCTAGTCGACCTTGCCTGATATGGTAGAACCTACAGGAACATATGTTACAGCCAATATAGCTAGTTTTAGTCATCGCGACAAGCCTGTCCAGTCACCACGTCAAGGTAGCAGCAATGGTCTCGATTCGCTCCTTGCCAAACTGGTGTATTTTTTATAGGTCTAATATTTTCGAAGCACTTAGTTTTAACTATAAAATGAACTATAGAACATTATTATCTTTTCTACTTCATAAATTATTTCAGTATGAATCATGTGGAAGTCGCTATGACTTCTGCATAATTGACACACACACACACATTGATCAACGCATAAATCGACGTACGTGTTTGTGTTTATGTGTGTATGTATGTATGTATGTCTGTATGCACGTGTGTGTACTACTATATGCATACTCACCCATGCTGTTTTGCTTTCTTCACTTGATAATTGCTTTTTTTTTCTAACTTTAATTGTATTTTGATAAGTTTTTAAATTGCACACAATGACTGTTATTTTCGAAATGGCACAATTAACCAATCAAAAATAAAATAGAATGAGATACTGATTCATGTTTTTAAAGAGTTGGTTTTTTTAATTAAAAGAAAGTTCTTTGTTTTTGTTTAGTCCTTAATAGTATGATCACTTTTTTTTTCAAAAAATATCAAGTGAATAATACATTGTAGATTACTTAGAAGTAGGTTAGAAATACAAACTGTTGCTTCATGATTGAGTTGCATCGGCACGTGAACTAGTGATAGAGAGTGAAGTAGTCGAACGTGTAGACTGCTTCACTTTTATTGGGAGTCTCATAAGTGCTGATGACCTGGTGACTGACGAAATTTCAGCACGGATACAAAAGGCTCGATTGGCTTTTGCCAACCTGCGTCACTTATGGCGCAGGCGAGATATCCGTTTGCTAATCAAATGACGAGTGTACTGTGCAGCAGTTCGCTCCATCCTATTTTAGGGCTGCGAAACATGGCCAGTAAGAGTTGAGGATATTCGTAGGTTATTAGTATCCGATCATCGGCATCTCCGAATCATTGCTCGTGTACCCTGGGACAACCGAGTAAGCAATGCTGTCGTTAGGAAACGGGTCCTAGGTAAGAATGGTAGATCAATAGATGAAGTAGTGAAACTTCATCAGTTGAGGTGGTTTGGACATGTGTTACGTATGCCTTAACCACCGACTGACTCGACAAGCTATGTTTTGTGGTGTCGGAGTTGGTTGGAAGAAATCTAGGGGCGGCCAGACCAAAACATGACAGAAATCCATGAAGTCACTGACATGTGGACTGAGTCATGTTGGTAGATGTAGACTACCTGGTTGGTGTCCGCGAGACGATAGTCACCAATGGTTAGAGATCTTGAATGACATGGCTCAAAATTATTTGCAATCGCGAAGATGCTGGCGGTGAAATGCAACAATAGTCAAATGTTGGTGATGAATACGTTGAGGGAGGAGGTGGAGGAGGAGGAGCTGGTGGTTATTTATTTTCTTACATGTTCTATTTTTATTTTTAGTTCTACAAAAATGGTAGATCATTCTAACATGATCGCTAGTACTACTACGACTACTACTACCACAACCACTTCACTACTACATCGTACAACATCAGCACTTCCAAAAAAATCAACCAGACAAAATGAACGAAAAGGTGGTGGTGCTGGACGATTAACTGTGGATGTTGTGTCAAATTCTACACCACCAGCTCCTGCTCCTCCTGCTCCTCCAACGTATTCATCACCAACATTTGACTATTGTTGCATTTCACCGCCAGCACGTTTTTTGTATGCCAAGAATCAACAAGACGTATCATTGTCATCATCATCATTATCCTCAGCACCGCCACCACTGACATCATCGTTGTCTTCATCAACTCCTACTCCTCAGTGTGATTTAATGATGATTGTTCGACGACCTGTTATTCCTGTAACAACTACAACTATTTCATAAGAAGAATTACCATCTATCTATCTATCTATCTACTCACTATCGTTGTGACCAAACACTATGACCATTGTCAATTGTGTGTTACTGTGTTTGTTTTTTCTTGTTTCGTGTGTGTGTGCGTGCGTTTGTGTGTAAACCTTGTTTGCTCCTTGTTCTGTTTCTGTTTTCTTCACTTTTCACTTGATTTTGTGTGTTTCTTGCTTGTTTTTAGTTGAATATGCCAACTATCAGTTAATCGGTTTATCCACTGTCTATACAAAATGCACTTCCTATCGTCGCACCGACTCCGGTAGATCTGTTTTTTTTTTAAGGTGTTCAATTATTTTATTTTAGAGAGAGATAAAACAATACCCGGTTTTGTGTGTGTGTGTGTGTACGTATGTTTGTGTACGTCTTTATTCTGTTCTTTTTTCTTGTGTATAAAGTTTTTATTCTGTCAACGTTTCTTTTCAAACATTGTGTTTCTTTATTTCGTGTTTCAATCTTTGTCAACATTTCTTTAACACTCGACTGCATATTTTCTTATCTGAACGAACGTGTTGTTGTTTTTTTTTAATAAAACACTTTCCTTTCCAATGTCATGTATTATTTAATAACTGATCAATTGATCGGTCTCCTTTAACTACTCCCTCCATGAGTTCGAAACAAAGCGAGCAACACTTCTACCAAATTTTGATTTACATTATTTCACAAAAAGCTACTTATTATTTATATGAGTAGTTTGTTTGATATTTTCAAAATAGAGAAAATGTTCTTTTCTCAAACCAAATACGCACAATTATTTTGATTATTTAGAAGAAAAATAAATTTCTGTCATCAAATTTTCAATTCAACTTGATCCACATCTCTCAATATATCACTATTGTTCTATGATTATTGTAATCTACCTCGGATTATTTCATTTATTATTCCTATTATTCTTGTTATTATGTTAATCAGTTTGTAAAAATGAAATTTTTCTTAAAATTCATTCATTAGTAAAAATAAAACTGAAGATTCTCTTTCTTTTCAATGTTTTATGTTGTTTATGTTAATATGGGGTTGTGAATATTGTTGAATTTCATTGTTAATCAGGCCAATGCTTAAAAACTAGGTTGGGAGGTAAATCTAGCGGTGTTAACCCATGTTGTCAGGAAGGTACCCACCGAAGATAGTTACTCAATGTTGTGGATCAATTAGAGTTATGAATTAACACTATTAGGTTGGCGCGAGATCAATTAGTAGGTGGGCTAAAAGACCCAGGTAACATGTAATTGCACGGCACTTAGACTAACAAGGTCTTGTAAAGGATCCGATTTTTCTTGGCCCCTGTGAACGTTTCAAGTGAATGCTTACGGCCATCACAGGGCATGCCCCATTCTTAAGTTAACACAAGTGGTTTTTGTGTAATTGACAGAGATTGGGCTGACCTATATCCTAAATTGAACAAAATTTCAGTATTTTTTGTGTATAATTAAAAGGTTGGGTGGTTGTAACACTGTGTATAGTTTTAAGTGTCGTCACCACAAGTAGTCGATAGAAAGGGCAAATTGATGCGCATATCCCATATTCAAATTGTAATAGCCCCTTGGATATAATCATTTCAATATCTTGTCCTTACTGTTATGAGTTCTGTAGCGAAGAGGAGTAATCATGAGATGTAGTAGTGTGATTAATTTGTAAGAACAAAAGATAATGCTAGTTGTTAGGAATACTTATAGGATAGGTGTTGGCGAGTGAACCTAAACTTGTGCGGAGCTACCTTTAGTCTTTTTTTTTGGCATTGTTGTTCACAGTACTCGTTAACCTTAGGTACTATTTATAATGCCGTAGGCTTTAGTCATTAGATGATGTTATATCTCAGTTCAAACATGTGAGATATGCGCAAATCAAAACATGTCTCGCGCGAGAATATGGGATAAAATGGGAATCGTGATGTGACTTAGTGCAATATATAGATCTAAAAAATTTATATTTACGCGGCATAGGCGTGAGAATGTGTGGGACAAGGGGGGAGAAGTGAGTTACAAGGAGATTAGCAGTGTTCAGGTCCTAACAATATACCTTTAACCGGGAGAGACAGATTAGATTCATTATGAAGGCTACGAGTCGTCTGTTAAAGTATTAATGGGTTTCCAACATCCTAGGATTTTAGCGATGAAGAAAATACACGGTAAAGGCACCTCTGTCTTCTACTCTTGGTGGAGCGAACCTTTTCTGATAAACGTCTCAAGCCCTCAAGGCGTTCGCCAAACCTTGTATTCTCCAGTACAATTCAGTAAAGGGGGGGGAGGGGGGTAAATCTAAATGCAATCAATACCTCGGTGTGAGAATACAAACAGGGAGCACCGTTGGACATCTATTTCTTAACTCTATTTTCCTCACTCCCTTTTCCAGCGTTGTTGTTTTTTTGCTCTCTGTCTGGTGAGAGGTAGATTCCTACTCGTGCATTATCCTGAGCTTTTGTGGATTTCTTCCATGAGAAGTGCTTAGTTGTTTGTATGGAGATCAGGTGCAAGCCTACATTGATGGCCTTGAGGGGGGGTGGAACGTTATCAGACAGTCCCAGAGTAGAAGACAGAGGTAGCATACCGTGATTTTCTTTCTCTCAAATACTGAAAGCGAATCCTTCAATGATCTGTCCCTGTATAGATTAAACTGAAACTCAATCTCCTACTACTTTTGCCACCTCGCCTAATCAGTATTATTCTTTTCTTTATTCACTATACTCACTTCCCATTTACAACTTTTCTCCCCTCCCCTCCCCCGGAGAGACAGTGTTTTTCGATAATCTCTTTGAGAACTGATAAATCCTATCTATAGAATTACAACAGGACCATAGAATTAGACCTAGGGATAGTAGATTTCTTCCATGAAAAACAAATCAAACAGTAGCAGCACCAACAGAGTTAGGTTCATGACTTTTTTCCTGAATTTATGTTGTACTATCAAAACTATCCGGTCTCCAATTACGTTATTAACAATCGGACCGTGGGTGGAAAATATTTGAATTGACATCTGGCTCCAATTGAATATTTTGATGGCATCCAATTGCATTCACTGATATTCAGTTTTACAAAACACCTTTAACTTTATACACCAAAAAAAATATCTGGAAAACTTTTCATTATAGATGACGCCAAATCATGAATTACACATAACCACTGGAAAAACTTAATGGGATAAGCCCCACTGGATACGGCCGTAAGCATCCAATGAGTTTCCACAGCAAAGAATCGATTACAGAGAAATGCGATATGAACGAAAGTACCTATCATGTTCCCCGCCCCCGTGAAATCATTTAAATTTTTTCTTTTCTTTGTTTCTAAGCCCCACTAAGGCCGACAAACCTAATAATAGTTA